CAAATAATCTATTGTAGACATTTAACCTTGTAACACATTTTGATAGCCTCATAAAATAAAGGATATAACCACACTGTACCTTAGCATACAACCACCTTTATAGAAGCTAACTAATACAAAAGGAACAAATGAACAGAAAATACATGGAAGATTCAATAAGGCAATATTAGACTGGACAGATTACTGCTGCATTTTTCACAAGTCAGGGAACCCTAAAGAAGATTATGACTCCCTCGGATCAATTACTCTCTATTTTCAAACAAATAGAGAAATTCGATGACATTGCTCCAACTGTCCAATTTTGGTTGTTAATTTCTAGCCACCATGAATATTTAATCAAAGATATTTATGTAAGTCAGTCAAGTGAGACATAATTGGTGACCATTTGACTCAACACGACTGCCCGATGTTACTGTTTCTTTCATTATTAAATTAGTTACTTTACACAACCTTAAACTTCATAATTTACCTTACAATGTTATCAAGATTTGAAGGTACGGGTAAGGTCAAACAATAACCCGAACTATTTTCAAGGCATTCGCATGAGCACACCAATAATTTCCTGATTTTTCATATTGCAAATGTGGGGTCCGTGATGTTCAGAGTTATATATCATGTTCCTAACAAAGAAATGCTTAAGAAGTATTATTTATTAAAATTATAATGAGGCTTTACAAAATTGAGATTTTTTGTGGTGAAAATTTATATTGGAAGATCAAAATTATATTGTAATTTTGGCTCTGAAAATTATCTTGCTTTGGGTCTCTTAAGTAATTTGGATGAAGAAATTATTGAATTATGGCATATTTTATATTAATTTGAGATATTTCAGTAGAAGTTAAAATTGCTTCTATGTTCAGAAAATTTTATTGCGATATTTGAATATCGAAGATATCAAAAGAAAATAAATTCTTATATGCGTTGAAAGATGTTTCAAAAGGCACTTGTATGGAAGTCAAGTTCCATTTCATTTGAGATGATTTTATGCCTTACTTGAGAAATACTATGAGTTAGTATTTTGTATGTGGATTTTCCGTTATATTAGAAGGATACAGTGATGATGATGAATCTTTGATTCAGATGTGAAAAATTCAATAATAATTGTGTGATCACCTTTTAGTTTGGTGTTATGATATTTGAATTGCTTGAAAGTGAGGTTGATTAAGCAACATGTTGGTGAGCTAAACCGATAATAATTATGTCGATGAGTTTTGTGATTGCCAAGGCGCAATAGCCATTGTAAGAAAATAAATCTTTCAATGGAAAAAACGGATACATTCTCCAGAGAACATTGTTCAAAATTCGGAAATACTCTAGTATAATATATTGGAATTCCAGTATATTATACTGGACCGGTCTCTGTTATAGTAAAATAGTGATTATTTTTTAATGACTTAGCAAACGCTAGCTATTTTTGAATGACCAGTTCGAAAACTGGCTAGCCGTGCTATTTTGACCTCTTCTCGAGCTACTCATTGGAATCTTAAAAGGAATTTTAGCCCATATTGTAATGTGACCACCTTGATCCCTTAACAATCTGGTACGTACATAAATGGAATTTTTACCTCCTATAGCAAAGGTTAACACCTTATTTATTTAAAAAAAAAAAAAGGCTCTGCAGGCGCATGTTTAGTGAGATCAGCTAACTTGCGCTTCAGCCATGGCTAGACACAGAAGGAAGCCTCCATCTCCATCGGAAGCTAAGAAAATTGAAGGAAATGTGGAAACACCTGCTCAAACTCAACCTAGTCGCCGGTTAACAGGGATGGGAAGTGCGCCTACAGTATTTCATAAACCAGATAGGGATGGGGAAGTTGATGGAATGACTATGATGCCGGACACAGGAATTCAACAAAGATTACTGCCGGTAACGTTTGGTAGCTTTTTGCCACAAAAATTCCAGCCAATTAGGGAGGAAATTGAAGAGAGTGAAGAACAATATGTGCCGAAGGAAACAATGGATGCATCGCTAATCCATCGACGATTGCAGTTTTTAGCTAACGGTAATTCAGTGCAAATTTGCCAAAATATGACACCTCCAGTAGAAATTGAGAGCAAAAAGGAAGTCATGCAGAAGAATCGAAGTTCCCAAGTGGGGAAGGCTTTAAGCTATGTACCTCCTGCTATGAGGGATGGTACCTTTGTTGTGCAAATTGAAGATGAAAACATGAAGGAACAAGAAATCTATTGGAGTATAGCTTTAATTGGGTTTTGTGCTAGGTGATAATCCTTATGAGAAAGCAATGGACAACTATATTACAAATATGTGGAATTTTGTTGAAAAGCCTCAAATTTTGTATCATAAGGATGGATACTATGTATTTAGATTTCAAAATAACGAAGATAGGGACCTAATACTACAAGCTGGACCTTATACATACCATAATAAGCCTTTTGTGCTGCAACAATGGAGAATGGATTTCAAATTCGACCCAGGGAGTGTGAGTGTAATACCTTTGTGGATCACATTTTCAGGCCTATCCCTGGGGTTTTGGTCTACTGAAGTACTTAGTAAACTTGCTAGTGTTGTTGGAAAGCCTCTATATACGGATATGATCACTGCTGAAATGAAGAATGTGTCTTATGCAAGAGTGTTGGTGGAAACTGATATTTCACAACAACTACCAGACTATTTTGAAATGCAAACAAAAAGGGGAGTAATAGTTCAGTAAATCGAGTATGAATGGAAGCCAAAGTTCTGTTGTGATTGCATTAGGTTTGGGCATAATTCAAATGAATGTTGGCTCAAGGAGAAGCAGGAAAAAGAAATGGAAGTCAAAGCTCAACCAAAGGAAACATGGAACAGGAAACAACAGCATAAAAAGAACATGAAATGGTTACCAAAAGAGAAAACAATGGAGGAAGATACTCTTCAGCAACCTAGACTAGAAGGTGACATGCAACAGACAAATGACAAAGGAAGTGAGAATCTAATTGATAGAGGAACAATAAAGGGGAAAGGTGTTTAACAAAGTTTAGAAGTCATGTTGCAGTCCAGAAATAGATTTGCAGCTCTGCAAATAGATGATAATCCAGGGGACGCTGGCCCATCCAGCTTCACCCAAAAATGATTCTATGCACATGGAATGTAAGGGGGCTGAACAAGCCCTATAAGCAGAAAGAGATAAGACTCTTTCTGAGAAAGCATAAGGTTGATTTTATAGGTTGTTTAGAAACAAGAGTTAAGGAAAAGAAAGCTAACATGATCATAAATAAAGTGGCCAGAGATTGGATATTCTGTTGTAACTATAAGGAACATTCAAATGGGAGGATTTGGCTACTGTGGAAACAAAATATTGAGGTTCAGGTGCTGATGATAGATGAACAATTTATACACTGTGAGGTACAATAAAGAAGCTCCAATTTTAAGACTTTGATAACAGTGGTGTATGCAAGCAATGAGATTAATAAAAGGCAGCAGTTATGGGGTAAAACTATGCAATTAGGAGCAAACATTAAAGTGTGTTGGCTACTTAGTGGAGACTTCAACAATGTCCTCCACACTAAAGACAAGATAGGGGCTCCAGTTATACAAGGTGAGATTAAGGGCTTCTAGGATATGATTCTTACTTTGCAACTCACACAAGTGAAGAGCTTGGGATGGTTCTATACTTAGTGTAACAAGCAGCAACCGGCAAAGAGGGTATACATTAGAATTGATTGGGCATTGGGAAATTTTGAATGGATGCAACAGTACAATCATATTGAAGTAGACTTCTTAAATCCAGAGGTATCAGATCATTCTCCCATCCTATTACAATGCATATCTATGGATCAAATGAGAAGCCTACATCCTAAACCTTTTAAACTATACATCTCTATTATGGATCGTGCTGACTTCACATGAGTAGTTAAAAAGGTATGGGATCAAAAGGTAAAGAGGGTCCAATGCACAGGGTTTGGAGTAAGCTTAAAGGGTTGAAAGCTGACCTTAAAGAACTGAACACTTATATGGCTTCTTATAAGCTTCAGCTCAATAAGGCCAGGCATAGGCTTGAAGTAATTCAGAGTGAACTCAAGAACCAACACATGGATCAACGGTTGATTGATCAAGAAAAAATGGCTTTAATGGAAGTAGAGAAGTGGAGCAGCATTGAGGAATAGATATTATATCAGAAATTCAGAGCAAATTGGATAGCTTGTGGAGACTCAAATTCGAAGTATTTTCATGCACAATGGAAGTTGAGGACAAGCACAAATACTATAAGTTCTATTTACAATGATTTGGGGAACAAGGTGTCTGATCCTGCAATAGTGGAGAAAGAGTTTATCAATTTCTTTACCAAGCTATTGGGAGAGAATAATACTACGTGTAGATGTCCAAGCTTAGAGGCTATACGACAAGGGCCTTGTCTCAACCTACAGCAGAAGGAGGACTTAATCAAAGAAGTTACAAGTGATGAAATCCTGAAGGCAGTTAAAGATATGCCCCATGATAAGGCTCCGGGAGTGGATGGTTTTCCAACTGAGTTTTTTACAAGGCATTGGCAGGAAGTTGATGGTGATATCTATGAGGTTGTTAAGGAATTCTTTGAAACTGGAAAATTTCACAAAGGAATTAGTAGTATTGCTGTAACATCGATTCCTAAAGTGCAAAATCTGTGTCATGTTAAAGACTATAGGCCCATAGCATGTTGTACAACTCTGTATAAGATTATCACAAAGGTTCTTACTGCTAGACTTAAAAGAGTTATTGGAGGTCTTATTGGAAGTTCATAGTCAGCCTTTATAGAAGGCCGGAGTATCACAGATAACATCTTGTTCACACACGAATTGTTCAAAGGCTATAATAGGAAAGGTATATCCCCAAAGTGTGTTCTTAAAGTAGATTTGAGGAAAGCTTATGATACAGTAGAATGGTGTTTCTTGGAAAGACTGTTGACTGACTTGGGATTTCCTTACAAATTTATAAGATGGGTAATGGAGTGCATTACATCAGTTACATAATCTCTTAATATTAATGGTGGTCTCATAACACCTTTCAAAGGCAAGGGGACATAATGTCTCCATATCTCTTTGTTCTGGCCATGGAATACTTGCAAAGAGAGTTCATCCAACTGGTGAAGATTAAAGAGTTTAAATTCCACCCTAGGTGCAAGAAACTGGGAGTGGTACATGTATGCTTTGCGGATGACTTGTTAATATTTTGCAAGGCTGATATCCAATCTGTAAGGCTACTAAAACAGGCTTTCCATAAGTTTGCTATGGTATCTGGTCTTCAAGCAAATGCTGAAAAGAGTTCTATCTACATAGTTGGGGTTTCAGATTGCCAAAAGGAGGAAATTATACAAGAGTTGGGGTTTTCTGAAGGAAGTCTGCCTTTTAAGTACCTTGGGGTTCCATTAGATTCCAAAAAGTTATCCATTGCTCGGTGCTGGCCATTAGTAGAGAAGGTAACACAGAAGATAAACTACTGGACATCCAGGTTATTATCATATGCAGGGTGTGTTCAATTGATAAAGTCAGTCTTATTTGGAGTGTAATCGTATTGGACACAAATATTTTTACTGCCAAAAAAGTGATGAAGATGATCGAGGCAATCTGCAGATCCTTTTTGTGGACAGGTTCAACAACTGTTTCAAGGAGGGCTTTAATTTCTTGGGAGAATATTTGTCTACCACAAAGTGCAGGGGACTAAATGTTATGAACATGATCTACTGGAACAAGGCTGCTATTGCAAAGCATCTGTGGGTAGTGGCAAAGAAGAAAGATAGTTTATGGATAAAATTGTCACGTCCCAAACTACCCCCTAGACGTGACTGACACCCAGCTAACACTACCTGCCTGGCGAACCCCTTTCTCTAACATTTAACCATTTTATACAAACATTAAGAGAAAAAGATGCAGGCCTAATAGTATTATTAACAATTAAAGAGGAAATGATTATCGCCCAATACCTTAGTCAATTGATAGGAAAACCAACAATCACTTAAATAATAAAACTCTAGCCCAAATCACACACTAAGACCATGGAGCATCTAACAGAGTAATATGAGTTTTATTGACGGGTATGCAAACCCCAAAGAAAAAGAAAATAACTAACACGAACTAGGTACGTCTGAATCGAAAGCCTCCACGAACAATGCGATGGCTCACCTCAGCAATAAGATCCACTCGAACAAACTCGTCAGCCTCTAACTCTACTCCCGCAACGGTATCTGCATAGAGATGCGGGTAAGGAGTGAGTTATATGTAAATATAACCCAGTAAGATCCTCGACCCGCCACTTTAAATATCTCTGGAACAAGTTGTCACACCTCCTTTTTCAGTCGCACCCCGCAAAAGGGCGTAAAAGGGAGTTTTTTCAATTAAAGGACAATCGAAACGGGATTTTATTTAAAGATTCAGAGTCGCCACTTGGGAAATTTGTGGTGTCCCAAGTCACCGGTTGAATCCCGAATCGAGGAAAAGAATGACTCTGTTTAACAGTCTGCGCACCAGAAATCCGGATAAGGAATTCTGTTAACCCAGGAGAAGGTATTAGGCATTCCCGAGTTCCGTGGTTCTAGCACGGTCGCTCAACTGTCATATTTGGCTTATTTATCTGATTTTTAATACATGTTGAATCTATGTGCAAATTTTAACTGTGTACCTCTTTTATTATTATTACTTTTACCGAGAAATGCAATATCGTGAAAATACATCTCGAACCACGTCACATCAATGCACCCCTGGTTGTTGACACATTTCAACTCTGTTGAGATTTGGATTTGGGTCACATAAATGTGCACCCGAGTTTAAGAAGATAACATTATTAAATACGCGCCTAAAGTGACTAGCGTATCATTATTTTAGGTAGGGCAATGAAATTTTGCTAAACGGTCCATCCCGAAGTCTAAGTAATTTTACCAACACGTATAGAGGGCCCCGCAGCTTGTGTATTTTTGTTTGTCGAGGCTCGTCTCATTCGTTATTTTTAAAAGAAATTTGCAACGTCGTGGAAATGCATCTCGAACCACGTCACAATCAATGCACCCGTGGTTATTGACACATTTCGACTCCGTTGAGATTTGGATTTGGGCCACGTAAATGTGCACCCGAGTTTAGGGAGGTAATGTTATTAAAAACGCGCCTAAAGTGACTAACGCGTTATTATGTTGGGGAAGGCCATGAAATTTGCTAAACGACCCATCCCGAATTCTATATATTCATTATAACGATTTAAGAGGACCGCACAATTTATGCATTTGTTTTGATCGGCGAGGCCCATCTCATGTGTTTTTAAGAGGGAAAACCTAAAAGCAATTATGATTCTCTACTTTATTCGTCTTTTTTTTAAAAAGAAATCCTAATTTATTTACTGAGACTATCTAGATTATTCAAACGTGCTTAACAATTAGAATCGAGGAGAAGCCGTATTTACTTATTAGAAATTAATGAAATAGTTATCCCTAGAATCCTAGTTTAAGACTCAGAATACTTATGTATTAGATACTGGAAACACGATCGTGAAAACCCGGTTATTTTTAGGTTGATCCGAACTAATATTACTAATTGGCATTAATGAACCTGCTATTGAAATAGAGAACACGATTATCATATGGATTCAACTTATGCTACCTAAATCAAATTGACCAACTTATTGACCAAAACTTAACAGACTTGACCATTGCTTCACTGACTTATACTCAAACACTAATATTAATTTGGGAGGACCATTTGAGTTCACATGCCAATCAAAATAAAAGAAACTTACTCATGAGAAATGGTTTAAGCCCTGAACTAATATTAACCGTTATGTCAAAATTCCAACTACTGAAGCACGTTTGGCTTAGAAATGAACTTGATGTGGTCAGTGCCTCCTGCTTTCAACTTGGTTGTAATTTTAAACTACTTTTGGTTCTTAAATTTTAAACAGCCAAATGCTCAACTAAATAAATACTAACCATACTAAGTCTAAAGCTAGAATAAACATAAATCAGCAGTCCAACAGCCTACATAATTCAACTTAATCAGTCCAGTTATACACCCCAATTAATTACAGCATACAGCAAACCAAACTACATAAGTTATATAAAAACATAATGAAATTATGAGGACAACATATCTATGGCAGAAAACTTCAGTTTCATTTTCGCTATTCCGACAGGAGACAATACATTGAAACAGTCTGAGATATGTACCTGGAAATCGAATCAAATAGAAAAGGAGAGGTCAGCAACAAGTAGTCAACTGGTATTCAACAATCAACAAGCAACAGTAACGGGCAGAAATCAACAACAGCCCAGAGCTTAACTCGACCAAACCAGGAAAAGTATGAACCCAGTAGAAACCAAAAAAAAAAAAGAACACCCAAACACAACCTTGACCAAACCAACTGGTATTGAATTTTGATTCAAACAAACAGATCCAAACCTATAAACAACTCCAAGTATAGAGCAGAAGTAAAAGGAAGAAAGGTTCTAGCTATTTCAGATCCTAAGCGNGAAGCCAAACAAATAATGAAAATAGTTATTCTTTTTCAACTTTTTCAGTTTTCAGAATTCAATTTTCAGTCCCCTTCTATAGACCTCCCTCTGCCTTCTTATACTTACTACCTTACCCCCTCTTTCTCACTAAAAATCTGAATTATTCCACTTTAAATCCCACTAAGGAAAACTTTTCCTTATTTTCATCCCCTCATTCCCTTTTGTTCCCCATTAGTGTATTAATTTAAAGATACTAATATTCCACTAACAAAACACTAACATTAAAATATTATCCTAATTGTTTCATTCCCAAATTACCCCTGAAAACCCTTAATATTACTGCCCCCTAACACAATTATTCAACTGTATTAAAACTTAATTCTGAAATCTGTTCCAACTAACAAAGATTTGAAAACTAAACCTGACTAACAGCTATAACCAAACTTATTGACAGCTAAATTGAAGCTAAGGTTGAATTCCATTTGAAAGAAATGAACTAAATTTAAATCACCACACAGAACTCAACAGAATCATTTAAACTGAAATTGACAATTGAATCAAAATGCACATGAATGCAGGTAACATGAATGCAGGTTCATTGTCAGCCTATTGACAATGCCCTGAAGCTAAGTATCCATACGCAACAACCATTTGACGAGCTTATTGGTGTACAACAAGAACAAACTAATCGACGAAACTATTTATAACCTATGTTATTAATCGACAGAACATAAACTGATGGAGAAGAGAGAAAATAACGGACAATAGACGAATTACAATGAACCTAATTTAGGTAAACCCAGAGTTGATTGAACTACTCAAACAGTATTGGAATATTTAATTTAACCAAAATCAGAAAAAGAAACAGAATACATATATACTGGATTAACTTAAACTAAAAACCCTAAAGAAATGACTAATCACACAGACAAACAAACACATAAAAAAGAAGAAGTTAAGAAGAACTCACTGTTCTTTTCTCGGATTTCAAACATATGCCCTTTCGAACTTGATTTCCAGTTAGTATTATACGTCTATTTCATCAGAAATAGACTTATAATACTAACCAGAAACCGTTCGACCTTGACAGCTTCGAAACAATCTCGAACTGTCGAGCCCTAGATCCGCCATTCGATGAGTTTTTACTCGGATTTGAACCAATCTGGTTAGGGATTAGCGACGAGGAGGTCAAGGGGATTATTGGGTGTGATTTTAAGGTTAAGTGGACAAGCTAGGGTTTGGGACGGGGTCTTTGATCGAAGATTCGAGAAGTTGGGATATGACTCGAGGACAACGGAGTGGGGATTCAGGTTGAGGGTGGTTAGAAGGTTCATGGGTGTTAATTTCATGGCCATCGGAGCCGGCGCCGCCACCGGAAGGCTGTGGTGAATGGTGGCGGCTGCTAGGGTTCATCCCTTTAAATCTAGATTCGAACCGTTCTAGGGATGTTCGATGGAATCTAACTACGGATTATGAAAGAGGGGATCAGGGGGTTCTGGGGGTTGAGTTTGGTGGCGAATAGAGCCGGCGCCGCCGGGTTTATGGTGAAGGGATGGGGTGGCGGCTATTAGGGTTCCTCGTCTCTCAAAGAGACGAGGTTTGGGAAAGAATGAGAGGGGGGGCTTGGTTTGGGGGGCGGGGTTCGTTTGGACAAATATATATACTGAGGGTGAGGTTAAATCCAGGTCGTTCGATCAAACGAGATCAACGGCTTGGATTGTTTAATTGGTTTGAACGATGTCGTTTGTTAAGGTTAGAGGCTGGATCGGGTTCAGGGGGGAAATGGCTCAGGGTCGGGTAATGGAAATGGGGCAAAGTTCTGGTCGTTGGATGTGGATGAATGGACGGTT